ATGGTTCAGTCAAAGCCGGGAATAAACAACATGGCAACTGCTTTAGAAAGAAGGTTGCAGTTTATTGAAGAGGAGAGCCAGACAGAGAGATGGCTCTGGAAGAAAAGAGAGTGAGCACATGTAGGGAGTGGGTTTTTATACCCTCTGGGGCTTTTGTTTGGAGTTGTTTCCTATTCCTGTTTGAGACCTTGTATTTCCTGTGTCATGTATTCTGACCCGAGTCTGGGTGTGCCCTTTGGCATCTGTGGGTTAATCCTATTATGTCCTGTCTTAGAGTTTGGGTGGGGCATGTAGATTTTAGGTGTCTTTGTCTTCCTAAGCTTCTAGCTTCAACCTTCCTGGATTATTTACATCTGCATTTGTAGAGAGCTGGTTTCTGCTTGGGGGAGGGAGACTTGGGGCTATTAAAAAAAACTGGGCATGCTTTTCTGCCTCTTTAACATCCTTTGAGGAAATATATTTTTCTGCCCTTTTAATATTTCCTTCTCTGGAGGGGGGGGGGGCTGACTTCACACAGAAGTAAAAAAATAAGAATATTAGAATAAAGGGGATAAGATATGGGATGTAACCTTATCAGGAAAGTAGAATCATTACCCTTGTTTATATGTGGTGGATGAAGATGGGAAGTTTAGATATTTCTTTCTACATTACTCTTTCTTTATTAGATACTCATTTTTCTTTCTTCTTTTATTTTTTCCCCTTTCCCCTTTCAATGTGTTCTCTTTTCTTTCTCGTAGATGTCTTACTTCTACAATTTCATTTTAAGAGTTCGAATGGAAGCTGGCCGTTTGGAATTGTGAGGGATCTGAAATTTTAGGATGAGTGAGATAAACGAGCTAGGGAAAACATGGTTTCGAAGCTGATTAGCTGACATAATCAGCAAGGCAGATTTACATCTACACATGCAAAAAAAAACCTCTGGGCTTCAATCTCTCTCATTCTCAGAAGCATCTGCAGGATATGTGCACATAGGTAGGAGATGCACATAAAAAAGTTAGTAAGGCTTCCATTTCACCAGCTGGCCACCATTTTATTTTTATTTTATCTATTAAATTTAGAGGTAGTCTTCAATTGAGCCCAAAATTTCCATTGCTAAACAAGACATTTGTGAAGTGAGTTTTGCCCCATTTTATGACCTTTCTTGCTATAGCTGTTAATCACTGAAGTTGTTAAGTTTGTAACATGGTTGTTTTAGTGAAACGGTCCCCAACTTTTTGGGAATCAGGGACCGGTTCCATAGAGAAAGATTTTTGCACAGACCGGAGAGTGTGTGGTTTTGTGTGCTGCCTGTATCCCATGGATGGGTCTTTGCTTGTTTCTGCGGACAGGTTGCTGACATGCCACGGACCGGTACCGGTCCACAGACCAGGGGTTGGGGACCCGTATTTTAGTGAATCTGGCTTCCCTGTGGAATTTGCTCATTGGAAGATCACAAAAGGTGATCACATGACTCTGGGACACTGCAACCATCATAAATATGAGTCTGAATTTTGATCACATGACTCTTGGGACAGTGCAAAGGTCCTAAGTGTGAAAAACGCTCATAAATGCCATCATTTTGTTGTTGTTGTTAGTTGCGAAGTTGTGTCTGACAACGTTCCTCCAAGCCTTCCTGTTCTCTATCATCTTCTGGAGTCCATTTAAGCTCATGCCTACTGCTCCAGTGACTCCATCCAGCTACCTCCTTCTCTGTCGTCCCCTTCTTCTCTTGCCCTCCATCTTTCCCAGCATTAGGCTCTTCTCCAGTGAGTCCTTCCTTCTCATTAGGTGGCCTAAGTACTTGAGTTTCAACTTCAGGATCTGGCCTTCTAAAGAGCAGTCAGGGTTGACCTCCTCTAGGACTAACCGGTTTGATCACCTTGCAATCCAGGGGACTTGCAGGAGTCTTCTCCAGCACCATAGTTCAAAGGCCTCAATTCTTGTAAGTTGAGGATTATTAGTATTTTCCACCCATATAAGTTTCAATGCAACTCTTCATTTTGACTCTGGACACCATCCTACAGACACCTATAATCTGTGAGGGTGAAGGCTGTCAACCCACCAGCAATTCCATCAACAGACACATCAGCCTATGACCAGCCTACCAACCCCTCAGAATCCAAATCTACCACACCGACCCTCAACCATCTCATGCAAGCCCCCCTAACCAGCCCTTTACCTCCCAATGACCCTCACCTGATGTAGCCTCCCCATCACAAGACCCATCACAAGATTCATCACAAGACTCACTGATAATTCACACCTGACCCATCACAAGACCCTCACTTGATACACCCACAATTTATAAACAAGAACACACTGACTCTGACATCCCCTAAATTCCACTAAAGTGTTACCTAGCCTAGTAACGAAATGTTTGTAAACCAACCCACAAGCTCAGAAGATGAATCTTCACCCTCATCATACACCCGAGCTACTTTCTGACTGACAAACCCAACCAAGTAAACACTTTCAAGGCTTTTCAAACTCTTAATGTAAAACTTTATTGAGTACATCATTTTGGCACGCATGCAAGCAAAACCAGCTCTGGCAAAACCCCACCCAATCCCATATCTTAAAAGTACAGTATAGAATCCCCCCTCCTCTTCCTTGGTCAGGTCATGTTGCTCAATTAGATGGGAAAATATTGTTTTAAGAAAGTGTCTCTGGGTCTGGCCGGACACCTGGTGAACCGTCCTTGGTTCTCACAGTCTGCTTTCTTGGTCTTTTGAAGTCTGTGTTCCAAACCCTTTCCCTCCCCCTAAGTTCATTGGCAAGCCGAGAAGCAATAATTGTCAGACCAGCAAGAACATGCTTTGAACATGACACCCTCACATGACACACATTCACCTGAAGTCCTTATAAGCAGAAGAACACTGACATCCCCTAAGCTCTGCTGAAGATTCATTACCTAGCCTGGTAATGAAACATTTGGAAACCAACCCACACGCTCAGAGGATGAACCTTCACCTTCATCGTACACCCAAAGTACAGATATTCAGCACTATTGCAAACCTATGATCTGTCCCTCGGGTTGCATAGAACAGCTGAAAAATTGCCAATAAATCTTCCTAACTTGATTGTCTTACAGACATTTGATTAAAACTTTGAACAGATGTAGCTCTTCTGATTTTAATGGGGCTGATCTATAGATGAATCTGGAGCTAGAAAACAAAGTCTTGAGTGGTCTCTCAATGGCTCCTACTTGAAAGATCATAATTTCTCTCCTCCATAGACTATGGAAAATAGATAAGAGATAAGATAACCTTTATTGTCATTTTTTTTTTTACTGTGGGCACAAGGGCCCACATCAAAAAATGAAATTTAGTTGCCCACTCTCAAAGTGAAACACATACATATCACACACCTAAACATACTATAGATAACATATGTATAGACCCACACCCCTACATATAGGTAACAAATAAATATTAAATATTGTCCATCTTGAATATATAACAGAAGGAGAAAGCTTGATACCACAAAGCCTCCTCCCAGAAGGGAACAAGGAAAACAGGTTGTGTAGAGGACGTGTGGTGTCCCAGATAATCTTGCAGACCCTGCTCAAGCAATGCTTCTGTGCTATGTCCTGGATGGGAGGGAGGGAACTGCTAATGATCTTTTTGGCCGTCCTCACCACTCTCTGCACTACCTTCCTGTCTGAAGCAGGGATGCTTCCAAACCAGACTGTGATGCTGTATGACAGGATGCTCTCGATCGTCCCCCTGTAGAAAGTGGTCAGGACAGGGGAAGGAAGATTTGCTTTTCTCATGCGGCACAGAAAATGCAGGCGCTGCTGTGACCGCTTCACCGGTGTCTTGCTGTTGAGTAACCAAGCCAGCCTACTCGTTAGCTGCACACCCAGGAATTTGATGCTGGTAACCTTCTCCACAGGTGAATCATTAATGCATACCTGCGGTGAGAAGGCAACCGTGACTCACATGGCTTTAGAAATGTGAGAGGATGAGAAAAACAATGTTTCCCGTACTGCTTGGTGCTAAAAATAGAATTAGAACTGATTGCTATGATATGTCTTGAAAGCAGAACACAGATTTGGTGGCGTTTATTTCATTCAGTGCCCAGGGAGAAATAAAATGGCATCACCTGACACAGATTCACTCCAAATACCAAGAAACGGTGATTCACACTGTATAGATGCAAGCAAAAATAATTTCCCCAGGAGCCTTGAGTGTCAGTGGTCAAAGGGGAAAGATGATGTGAAAAGTCACTTTAAGTTTGTGCAGCATCAGCACATCCATTTTCATGGTTTTTTTTTTTTGCACCAGAGGTAAACTGAGACAGATTGGTGGCGACACTCTCTCTCTCTCTCTCTCTCTCTCTCTCTCTCTCTCTCTCTCTCTCTCTCTCTCTCTCTCTCTCTCTCTCTTTCTCTCTCTCTCTCTCTCTCTGTGTGTGTGTGTGTGTGTGTGTGTAAATGTATGTGTATTCAAACTGAGAGCGCCACAGCTAAGGAAATTTTGTCTACACACTGCAGAAATGTCTTCATTTTTGCTTCCTTCAATGTCAGCCTCAATGGAGTGTAATATATATAGATATTCTTGTCTCCCTTTTTTCTTCTCTTTATCACTTTAATTTGGAGTGGAGTTGGGGTGACTGAAGGGACCTGAGAATTTATTGGCCGGATGCCTTTCCTGATGCCACCCAAAGTTCACAGCAGGTATTTTCTCTTTGTGCCCTGTTAAACATCTGTCACTGCCTAAGAATTGAACTCACAAATATCTTCACCTCTAGGCTAGCACACCGCTCATTCTTGTCTCCTTATATAAAAAGGGGTAATAGGAATGATCCGGCTAATGATAGGAAACACTAGTCTATTGAACATCAATAGCAAACTATATAACAGGTATTTGTTTGCCAAACTCCAAATTTGGATAATGGAGGAGGGAATAATTAACCCTAAAAGCAGGATTCCAAGCAGGATAACCTACTGTAAATTATTGTCTAATGCTTCCACCTCTGGCACACAAATATATAAGCCTCTCTGACTTCCATCTGTATGTAGCCTTTATTGATTTCAAGGAAGCGTCTGATAATATCTCAATAATATCTCTTTGGGAGCGGATCCTGTATAGAGCCAGCTTGATCTAGTCATCAAGGAAGCAGGCAAGAAAGCAGGAGATGGTGAGTTCAAGTCCTGCCTTAGATATGAAAGCCAGCTGGGTGTCTTTTGGGCCAATTACCAGGAGATGGTGAGTTCCACTCCCTCCTTATGTACGAAAGACAGTCCTTCTCACACAGGGTTGTTGTTGGGCCAGTCCTTCTCACACAGGGTTGTTGTTGTGGGGAAAAATAGGAGAATGAAGTCGAGTTGGATATGTTCACTGTCTTAAGTTATTTGTAAAAATAATAAAGCTGGGACACAAGTAAATAAATAGACAAACTACTCTTCCTCCTTATTAACAAACTATAGCGTAAAACTGGTCTTAAAGTGAGATGTAACTCACTTTAAGGGAGAGGAAAGGAGAGGAGAGAGGAGTGGAGGAGAGGAGAGGGAAGGGGAGTGGAGGGGATACGAGACAGAGAGGGGAGGGGAGGAGAGGAAGGAGCAGAGGGGATAGGATAGGAGACAGAGGGGAGAAGGGAGGGGAGGGGAGAGGGCAAGGGAGGGGAGGAGAGGAGGAAAAGGGAGGAGATGAAAGGAAAGCAGAGCAGAGCAGAGTGGAGTGGAGCTGAGGGGATAGGATGGGGTAGGAGATGGAGGGGAGAAGGGAGGGGAGGGGAGGAGAGGAGGAGAGGAGAGGGGAGAGGAAGGGATAGGATAGGAGATGGAGAGGAGAAGGGAGGGGAGGGGAGAAGATGGGAAGGGAGAAGAGGGGAGGAGAAGGGAGGAGATGAAAGGAAATGAGAGCAGAGCAGAGTTGAGTGGAGGGGATAGGATGGGATAGGAGATGGAGGGGAGAAGAGAGGTGATAAGGGAGGGGAAGGAAGAAGAAGGAAGGGGAGGAGAGGGGAGGGGAGGAAAAGAGAGGGGAGGGGAGCAGAGCGGACCTTAGGAGATAGGATAGGAGATGGAGGGGAGAAGGGATGGGAGGGGAGGAGAGGAGGAGAGGAGAGGGGAGAGGAAGGGATAGGATAGGAGATGGAGAGGAGAAGGGAGGGGAGGGGAGAAGATGGGAAGGGAGAAGAGGGGAGGAGAAGGGAGGAGATGAAAGGAAATGAGAGCAGAGCAGAGTGGAGTGGAGGGGATAGGATGGGATAGGAGATGGAGGGGAGAAGAGAGGTGATATGGGAGGGGAGGGAAGAAGAGGGAAGGGGAGGGGAGGGGAGGGGAGGAAAAGAGAGGGGAGGGGAGCAGAGCGGAGCTTAGGAGATAGGATAGGAGATGGAGGGAAGAAGGGAGGGGAGCGGAGAGGGGAGTGGGGAGGAAAGAAGTATGAAGCAGAAGGGAGAGGAGAGGATACGGGAAGGAAGAAAGGGAAGGAGAGGAGAAGTGGACCAGCCTGAAGATGTTATCTATTTGTCAGAAAGGACAGACGTTTGAGGACCATTAGGACAGTGCTCCGACTAGGTGTAACTCTGTTTTACTCAGATGGTCTGCCTTTGCGTCAGGTTTGTGCCTGCGAAACCTCCATGTATCCATGCACGTTAAGATAGCAACCATTTTAATATTCTGTTTGTGAGCGGCGCCTTGTTCCTGCCCCAGAAAGTTATTTTTTCACCAAGCCAACAAGGCATATACGTCTTGCTCGAAATCTCTCTCTGCATGTGGGTCTGTTTACACACTCACACTCACACAGATCTATTCCCTTACATTCATCCTCCAAAGTCAGAGGGGCGGATTGGAGGGGGTGAGTGGCCTCCCTCATCCGAAGCAAAACATAATAAAGAGGGATAAAAGTTAATAAGCCTTCAGAAGAGCTTCTGGCCCCCCTGAAGCAAAACATATGGGATACTCGCACGATTCCTCCCCATATATTTTGCTGCAAATAACAACGGTTGAGGAGGGAGGAAGAATTCCATTTGGGAGCTCAGCAGGTAGGAAAATAGTTAACAACCCTTGACGGAAATTGTCCCCCCTCAGGAGCTACATCTGGCGGTTGCATAGAAAATGCATTTTTTTCCTCTCTCTCTTTTTCTGCATGTTATCAACCATCCTCATTCCAATATCCAATGGCAAAGGAACCACTCTTGATTTTTTTTTTTGTTTGATTTTTCAGAAATGATTGGTTTTACACCTAGTTTCGGAGAGTTTGAATAACTTTTTCTTGTTTTCGATAGTCCTTTTTGTAGCCTCCCACCCATCCAATCCTGCCCAAGAGGAGACCTCGTGAAGGAACTCCTCCCACGGACCTTTTTGAGATTGGAAAGGGGACCAACCAGAGAGACTCTCTGTCTGTGTCTCTCTACCTACCTACCTACCTACCTATCATCTATTATCTATCTATCTATCTATCTATCTATCTATCTATCTATCTATCTATCTATCTATCTAAATATCTATCTATCTATCTACTGTTAGAAGTAAAGTCTTCATCCTGGTTCATCCAAGCCGGGAATAAATAAGCAAACATGGTGACTGCTTTGGGAAGAAGGTTACAGTTTATTGCAGAAAGATGGTTCTTCAGAAAAGTGCAGAGGAGAGAGAGGGGTGAGCACATGGTGTAGTAGGCTTTTATACCCCCTCTAGCCTTGTTTGGAATAGTTTCCTGTTCCTGTGGCAGGAACCTTGAGGCTGTTTCTGAGTGGTTTTCTAGGCCTTGATATCTGTGCTTTAATCCTATTATCATATCCTGCTTCCCAGGTGATGGGGCTAATGACTCCTAGAGTTTGGGTGGGGTATGCAGCTCTTCTCTTTGCCTTCTTGATTGCTCTGGCTCCAATTCTCTGATGGTTTTACATCTGCATTTGTATGGGGCTAAAGTCTTGCTTGGGCCAGAGAGATAGATTTGGGGCCAGGTTTGGTTTTAAAAAGTCCTTTTGAGGAAAAATATATTTTTCTGCCCTTTTTAATATTTCTTTCTCTGGGCTAAATTCCCTCACTACCTACCTACCTACCTATCTTTTATCTCTCTGTATCTATCTATCTATCTATCTATCTATCTATCTATCTATCTATCTATCTATCTATCTATCTATCTACCTACCTATCTATATCTACCTACCTACCTATCTTTTGTCTCTTTGTCTACCTATCTACCTACTACCTACCTACCTACCTACCTATCTACCCACCTTCTGTCTCTTTGTATCTATCTATCCCTACCTACCTACCTACCTACCTACCTACCTACCTACCTACCTACCCTTTGTCTCTTTGTCTCTACCTACCTACCTACCTACCTACCTACCTACCTACCTACCTACCTACCTACCTACCTATCTACCTACCTTCTGTCTCTTTGTATCTATCTATCTATCTATCTATCTATCTATCTATCTATCTATCTATCTATCTATCTATCACATGTTTATTATGTATTCCCTCTCTGTTATGTTTCTACTTCCATCTCTTTCTCTCTTCATTCATTCATCCATATCTCACTCTTTCTCTCTCTCTCTACTCTCTCTCTCTCTCATATCTCTCTGTCCCTCTCTCTCTCTCTTTCTCTCTACTCTCTCTCTCTCTCTTTCTTTCTCTCTACTCTCTCTCTCACTCTCTTTCTTTCTCTCTACTCTCTCTCTCTCATATCTCTCTGTCTCTCTGTCTCTTTCTCTCCGTCTCTCTCTCTCTCTCATATATCAAAGGGGAGAAATAAAACTTTCGGAATTACTTTCATCTGAACATCGGTGATGACAAGAGAAAGGATGAAAGGGACCGAATCAGACTGAAGATCCATTTGCAGCTGTGAAGTATATGGACACCATTCCCTACCCTGAAGCCTGAAATAGCTCACATATTTCTCTCCTTTTTTTCATTATGTGAAGGAAGGCTGGTTGTTAGAACAGTGATACTTTGAAAGGCTTCAGGCACTTTTCAACAGTGAGAGAATGGAAGAGTGAATTATTGCAAAATGGAGCCAAATTATCAAGACCTCCACAATTTCTTCTGGCAGCTTGTCATTTACTTTTCAGCTACAGGAAGTAGCATTCAATTTTAACGTCTATCAAGGTATTTGAATCAGGAGACAATAAAGAATTTATATGATATGTCTAGCAAATCATCACCATCGTCATTGATTAGCATGGCTAAAAAAAAATAAGACAATATTCAAATAAAAGAGGGAGCGGCAAAGAATTTGTCACGTTTCCTTCCAATAGCTCCCAATTTTCACTTAAGAAAAGTTATTTATCTTCTTGTCATAACTTGAAAAAGAAAAAGCATTCTGCTGGATATGCAGGCAGTCCTATAAATCCCAAAGATGTTTAATCAGTGGGTAAATTAAATGCATCCAGGAAATGACTAAGTTTAAAAAACAAACAATAACAACAACAACATACACCCAGATCTATATTTGGCTAACGCTTTTAAAAACATAAGTGGATCTGTTGGACTTGATTCTCAAAGTTTTCCATTTCTCAGCCTGAAGAAGTGGCTTTGCCAGCAAGCCTGGGATAAATATCTGTAAATAGGGTGGAAAGTTCCAAAGCCAGAATGGCAATGACCAGCATATTTTGTTCATATATGAAAAGACAAAAATCAAACTAAAAATTCAGGGACTTCTGAGCAAAACCATGCAATAGTGGACAGATCTGTCAACAACTTAAAACCTATCTGAGCTTTTCAAGCTAAAATCTAGGAGCAAAGAAGGGAAAATGTGTTGGGCTTATGGCTCTCCCCTAGATACATTCAGAACTGACAGTAGGTAGGTAGGCAGGCAGGCAGGCAAACAACTAGATAGACAGACAAACAGAATCAAGTGAATTCATACAACCGGAAAGGGAACAGATTGAATGAAATCTACTTATTCCTAACTTTATTGTCTAAGAAATATTTTTTTTTAATTGAAAATTTTTTAAAATTTTACAAAAACAAAACAATTTTCCCCAAACCTCCCCAACCCTCCCATTCCCTCCCCCGACCTTCCCAGAGCTGAATATAGGCTTAATTAAAGTTTCTTCAAAAAATCTTTAAAAAGATATAAACAATAAATAAATCTAAATACATTACTTAAGAAAATTATAAGATAATTAACAATAGTGTGTATATGAAAAACAAATACAAAAAATAAATGTTTAGAAAA